TTCCTGCACTCACTCAGAAAAGCAGTCCCATCTCTACCAGTGTCTGATGCCAGTTGCTACAACAAAGGACTAAAGAAAAGCTGCAGTAAATGGCTGTGGAATAATTTGCCCAACATCTAAATCTTGACAGTCAGGCAGCTCACTTATTGTCTAAACTATGCAAGTTTAGGATCAAATTTCCCATAAAGGCAGCAAGGATTCTTTTTTTTCCTCTCCTGCTGGTGGCTAAGTGATGGTGTATGCTCTCATGTCAGGAACAATTTGTCAGCCTCCCCCTTAAACCCACAAATAGCATGGCTCTAGACTCTGCCTTCTCTTTAACCACAGAACTATTTTCTCTTCTTTTTCTGATTTAACCACACTCCTCTTGAAAACAGACATTCAATGCTCAGAGAAGAAACAGGTCTTAAAGTGTCCAACTTTTTCACTAAAGCAGCTACATAATTCATGACAGAACAAATAAAGTGCTGTAATAAAACCTGGGAAATGTTTCACTGCCATTCCTGTCTCTATCAGGCAGTTCATATGGGAGAACAGCATGTAGTTTGCATGTGTATTAACTTTTGCTAATCAAAAATCTTAACAGCATTTTAACTTTAGAAACATTATTTTTAACAACTTAGGAGGCAGACAAGACCAATCCTGTGTTTGTTTTCTTTGGTAAAAAAGAACTCATCTAAAAATCCTTTTAGTGGGTTTGGAAATAATTAGACAGCACCTTCCAGCTGGAATGGCAGAAATGCTTAATGCCTCATTGCTTTTTTCCTGAGCAGAACTTCATGACTGTCTTTTTTTTTTCTCCCCTGTTAGGATTAAAAGAAACGACCCGTACACACACAAATCCCAACAGATTGAAATGAGATGACAGAGAGACTACTGCACAATATGAAGCTCAATTTCAGACTAACATTGCATAAAAACTGCAAGAAAAACAAATACCAGATGCATATCTTATTGCTGTAGACTGGTGGGTACTAAAGAAGAGCAACATCTGACACCAGCCAGAGCTATGAGAGAGATGTAGTAGACATTTCTTCTACTTCAAGAGCAGACCCAACAAAAGTAACCTAAATGAAGCAAACTCGTAAGGAGGACAGTGCAATCGCAGCCTGGAGACAGCGCTGACTGAAACATGTTTGCCATCATTAGCCGCTTTCTCTTCCTGGTCTCACCTTGGCTGGACCATGAAGGAAGATCTGGTGGGCACTCTTATTAACAAATCTGAACTAGGAAACTGGGAATGATCTTCCTTGCCACTTAGAAAGTGTGAGGTGTGTAAGTGTTCAAGGAAGAGACCAATTTCCTTACATATCTTCTGGGAAATTATTTACTAAAATATATATTAGTGACAGTTTAGATGTAAGCCTCATAAAGAGCTATATCTAGAAATTAATTATTCAGCAATCAGATCCATCTCTGACCTGAGGGAAGCACACAAATCAAACACACCCTCCTGAAACCCCAAATGTAACACTATTTCCTTAAATAGAATGAACACAGAGCAAACAAGTAATCTGAGTCAATCTCCACATCACTTGCAGTACAAACTTGAATTTTTCTGCAACAAGAAAAATACACTTTCTGAAGTGGCAATCTAAACCACTGGAATTCCTGGGGATTCCAGCTGCTGCAGGAGTAATCAAAGCAGCAGCCTTTAATCCTCTAGTTTGCAATAGGTCTTTGAATTTCTTCCAAAAATAAACACTTTTGCTGAAGCAGGAGGTGCCCTAAAGACAGAAGTCATCCCATCCTTAGCTAAGTACATGCAAGTCCTGTTTCGCAGACCAATTAATTTGTCTGCTGAGAAGCCTTACCTTGTACCTTCCTAGTTAAGGTGAATAAGAGATTAAGGAGTCATTTTGTCGCAGCTGAAAGGTGTAAAGCACTTTGAAATGAAACAAAAAAGGTCTGTTTCTTTAATAAACTGTTAAGGTTGGGTAGGGGGGGTAGTGGTAGAAAAGTCCTTTGTTTTATGTGTTATTTTTTAAAAAAATTCTTTACTAGGTCATTTCTCCATTGCAGCTTATTACAATATGAAATTATAGTTTATTTAAAAGATAAGGGTTTTGTTTGGTTTTAAGTAGCCAATCACGTGTAAAGTTTTCATGAAGACTTTAAAACCAGTATGTTTTGATTGAATAAAGAACAAAGATATTATATGTATTGCCACAGTAGACACTCATAAAGTCCCATTTTATAAACACATTCCAAAAGAAAAATAACTAAGCCTTGCTAAATTAGCTTCGCAGCACCTTCACCAGTCCCTGGAAACCCTTACCTTGGGCTGGAGCACAAACCACTCATCGTTCTGATTTTCAAAGTTCCAGGAATCAAATGGAATTTCCACCTCCCCAAGGAAGCTGTTGCGTCCAAATCTGTCATAGTGCCAGACAGAAAGCTGCAGGGTCCTGGTTTCCAGCTGTGTGTGACTGATGACATACTACCAACAGAAAAAGAGAAAAAGAAACTTTCACAATAATAGCAGAAATAATAGTTTCCACGGAGCCTTTTACAGCTCTAGCTCAATTTCACAAAGCTCACAGCAGCTAACAAATGAAGCATGAAAGAGATTTGTTTTCTTTGCAAACAAGATTGATCGAGCCAGAAAGCTCATGATGTTAAACCTTAAGTCTAACTCTTTTTTGCAGTATGTATCCAATGGTAATTACTGTTACTAACATAATTGTGTTTTTTTCTGTATGATTTACTGTGAAATTATGACTATAAAGTAAATTTTTATGCTTAAAAAATATGATCCTGTTAATTCCTTATAAGTTTATGTAAAAGAAGCAGATCAACATCAAAGTTTAGTTTGTAAGAAGAAACCCCACTGCTTCTTTCATCCCTAAAGAGAGTCTGCTGTATACTGCTTTCTAGAAATAGCGTCCTTTCCTTTTCAATTGTATCTTTGTAACTTTGAAAAAATTGTTCTGAAAACAAGTAAAACTGCATCTGCAAAGCATGCACCAAGCATATCAATCTTAGCAACCATTGTTGGTTTTGAAAGCTATTAAAAACTCCTCTGGAAAACACTGTATTTAGCAAATGCACAGAAAATTATAAACATCTGGGTTTCTAGCTCTGCACACTCTGCTTCTAGCAAAAGGCCTACTAAATCCCTGAAATTCACCCTTCTCCTAGTGTTAGGTGAAGAGACCCAGATGTCATCTTTTTTGCATCAGGAACATCTGGACACAGACACATATTCTCCAAAAGCTACAACAGTCAAGTCAGTTGGCAAGCCACACAAGTAGGCTATTCATGTATAGATATGTCTACAGTGCTTAACCTAGATGCCAACAGTTCCACAGAGAGAGATGTCATATTTAGCAACAATGGAATAAAAGTCAAAGAGGGAAGACACAGACAGATTTAATTATTTTTCTTTTCTTTTATAACAGTAGTTACAGTTGGGACAAACAGATGTAGCTCTTGCTTACCTACCCACAATTCAAGTAAGCCCTCTTTGTTACAATTCACATTTTTAATAAGCTGCTAGGTCCTGTCCTCACTGAAGTATCCTACCAATAAATATGTTTAGTGCTACGTTTCTTGATAAATAGTGTCTAACACCTTTTTTTTTTTTCCCCAGTTCAAGCAAGTTTTAACTTTATTATAAACCATTTAAAAACGAGGCTATACAAGGGACTCTCCCTTGGCAAGCAGTCTGGCCAGACCAAGTCTGTGTAAGTCTGCAAAATGGTTTTGTAGCTAGGCTAAGCCAAGTATACTGGCCAGGGAACATCTATTAGCCTCTATTATTAGAAAATTATTTAAAACATCACTGAAACTACAAAGGAAAAAAATTCAGGAGAAACTAAATAAGAGTTTCTGGCCTCATGACAGCCAGCTGGGTTAACTCTCATCAACTGACAGGAAGGGGAATCACTAGGAGCTTTTGGATCCAGGTGCCAGACAGGTAGTGAACTGGGCAGAAGCTCTGCCATTCCCACCTGCACCACAGAGCCAAGGAGGTAAATAAGCAGTTTGTGAGGAACTCAGAATAGTTCAACCTCTGTAGTGGACATGGGTAAAAGGCAAGGAAGGAAAGAGCCTGGGCATTGTGCTCCAACAGTCCTCAAGGAAGCAATCTGTCATCGTCTCTTGCAACAGAAAATGAACTTCACTACAGCTTTTTAGGAAGGTAGGTAGTAAAGCCATTGTTGACATTTTCTTATCAAAGTCAATTCTGTCTTGAAAATAAATTAAAGCTTCCAGAGAAATTGAGATCTTATTGCAAAAGGTTATTTTCTCTTTGAAATCAGTTAGATGGAAAGTTTTAAGCTAGTTCTACTCCAGCATTAGTTGCTAACTTTGAGCATACAAAATCTTTAAGGTGCTTTTAACAGCTCTAAGCCCAGGTTAGATGGGAACATCAACAGTTTTGGAACTAATGGAAGTTTTCCCTGTAAAAGGGAGAATCAAACAAAAACAATTCCTCAATGCTGAGAGACAGAAATTACAGCTCATAGGATTACTAGATGTTTTTGCTTAAATACCTTCCCTTTCGAGATATCTCTTCCAAATTCTAATCCCCATACTGGAAAACACAAAAAATGCCTGTGAGCACAAGTGAGTACATTCATCACAGCCCGAGAGAGAGAGAGACTGTTCTCACCTTCAGCATTTCATTAAATTCTGGATTGGTGCTGTTACTTTTAATTTTGGTCTTGCGTTTACTTTGGCGGGACTTATCAGGCAGAAGGTATGCTTTAACATATCTGCAGATCAAGCAATAAGTTATTAGCAAGAAATAAAAATGACCAGTTTGAGCAAGGACCTGACATTGCTGCATCAGCAACACATATGAGGCAATTAATTTTTGCAGTCTAAACAACATACACATGTAACAGAGAATATGTGAAACATGGAAAGGTATGGTCTTCATCTACAACCACAGCAATGTTAGTCAGATAGGATCAGAATAACAAAAGGCAGAGCTTAACTAATTTACTCATTGTCAGAAATGCAGAAAGCTTTCCCTTTTGTAGTATAGGATTACTGACTGGTTACACACATTGAAAATACCAGAGAATTAAAAACTTCAAACCTTACATATGACAGGATTACACATGATTAGAGACACTAATTACAACTTCCTGATAAGTGAATTTACATATAATATCAAAAACAATAAAGAGAAGCTCAGAAAACATGGTCCTTGCAGAGTGAATCTATGGATGCGTGAAACCAAAGTTATCTCTATCCCTCCCTCCAAAACATCACCCTTCTCATGCTTTAGGTTTGATTCTATAAGTAACACATCAATTCATCCTCCCTATTCCTTCATATTTTTTGCCTTTTATTATTAAACAGGTTGGTAATTTAAGTAATCTGATTGTTTCCCCAGGACATGCACATACTGCCCTAATAAACATACTGAAAAGGCATTTCCCACAGGGAATCCAGAAATCAACCACCATCAGAACACTGGTTTGTAGCAACTGGATCCTATGAGTTCTCTGGCTCATATCACAACCCCAGACTATGTCACTGACTACAGCACGTGGTGTGGTGGAGGACACCCTTAGAAGTGCCTAAAAGGAAACTCTTCTCTGTGCTTACGGATCAGTCCTTTGCTTCTTCTCATCCGCAACGGCCAGGTTTCTGCAACTTTTCACCAGGATGTTGAGGGCACCTGTTTTGTAGCTGTAGTTGATGTTGAGAAGGATTTCACCACTGACCTTCACGTTGCCATAGTCACCAGTCTCACTATATACACTCAGCATGCTGTTAATGCTAGTCTGGAGGGAGAGAGAAAAAGGACTTAGAGGTTTAAACAAATTACTCTTTTCCAGAATCTGGTTGGTTGGTTGGTTGTTTTTTTTCATACAGCTACAGCCTCACAATATTGTCACACTTGTAAGGACTTGCTATGAAAACAGATATATCATAGAACAGAAATACCACCATTTGATGTAAAAGGGAGTAAGTACTATAATTAATAATAGTTTAAATGTCTAGACAGTTGATGTTTTTCCATGCAGGACTCAAACCTATTTATAAACATGACTAAATATGAATTACCATCATCTAATTCATGCATGAACTGAAGAGCAGACAGGCTACATAAATTGTAAGCTCATGTAAGTTCCAAGCAGGAAAAACAAAAACAAAAACAAACAAAAAAAAACCAAAGAAAAACCCCAGCCTCTCTGGGTTGCCCACCTAATTTTTACTGAGTCTCATAAGACAACTGCAGACAGAACTATTAGAAAAAGTTATAAGGACGCTTCCCATAATGGAGGTGGTATAAATCCATGTTTGTTTAAAGTGACACTCTCCTCTCATTAGCAACTCTAAAAGAATGAACAAAATTCACTACCCATCATTTCTGCAATTTTTCTAAAGCCAAAAAAGTTTAGCAATAATCACATAGAATTTTCCACTGCAATGTAATATATAATCCCTCAGTCTCTTTTTTTCACTCATACCATGCAGAGTATGAGGATTTCCTCTTCCAAAAGATTATAATTAGGAAAGAACTAAATATTCTTAAAGAAAGCCAGAGCAATATGCACACTGCCAGAACCAGAGGCATTCAAGAAATCTGATGCACATTTTCTTTTGAGACATTGAGCATGACTGCTCAAAAACATATATAACCATCTAAATCCTACCACATAGGAACCTTGCAAGACACAGGTATAGGCTTCAACAAAAAGGGAGAAAAGAGAGAGAAACCTTAAAAGTAAGCTAAGCAGAGGATTCAGGGGAACTCACAGTATCACCATCTGTTTCAGGCACATTTAAATACGTCCATTTTCTGTCAGAGCCTTCTGGTGAGTTCTTTAAAGAAAACAATGCAAAAGATCAAGAGAAAAGAGCATTAGATAGCTGCAATAAGAAAGAGTAAGTGCAGTGACCTTTACCTATATAGACAGGTAAAGGAAGTTCATACTGCAAAGCTATAGCGAGAAAGAAAGAAAAAGGAATCACCAAATCAGAGAAATGCTAAGTGTTTACCATACACTTCTAGTACTGAAGGACACACGGCTCAAGGTCATTGAATAGAAATGAAGTACCTGCTGTACCAAAATAAACAAATTACATCTTAGAACACCAACTCAGCAGATTTGGATTTGTATTGGACTGTATTTCAACTTGTCTTCATTTACATCCACATGAAGTCAATTCTCACTTAAACTAGTCAAAAGCTAAGCATTCAATTATCTGCAAAATCAGTGCCTTCATAAGAAATTGCAGTTTCTGTGGAGCTTGTAAGAATAGATAAAAGTGCATGTAAATGTTTAAACACATCACTCTCTGGGGAAAAAAAATACATAGTAATAGTATATTTGGGGAAACATTTTCAGCCCTGTGTGTGCTAGAGTAGTATCTATAAATCTCACCAGTGACCTCAAGGGAAACTACATCTTGATCTACCTCCGTCCTTATCAGCTGCAGGGAGGAAGGAAGAGCACAGTTAAGGGGAAGAGACACACAGAAAGATTTGGTCTGTGGCAAAACTCAACTCTCCGAGCACGTTGCCTAAGAGCCCTGCAGCAAAGAAAGCTGGAGGGATAAGCAGACCTGTGTCAATACAGTAAACAACAACAGACATGAAAAACCAGAACAAGCAACCATTCTACATAAAGTTAATTTTATACATCATGTCAGAATAATAAATGGCACAAAGGGTGTTTTCTTTTATTTCTGCTGGCCTTCTTTATCCTTCATTTTTTAAAAAAAGAAAAATGTTTGTCCTTTTATTCTTTTGTACAATTGGCTGAAATTCCATGAAGAGGACTGGTTAAAATTACTGGAGAATTAGCAACACACACTGACAGATGTGTCACATTTCCTCCTGTTCCTAATATGCCTTGAGCTAAATTCCAGCCTTTACCATTTATGCATTTCCACTCTAGCATACATGAAAGTGGGTATCCGTGGATATGGTTCATGAACTGAGCAGCCTCAGCCTGTGCTACAAAATACCTAAATCATCCCTGTAACAGAAAAGTAACAATTTGTGTGCCCACTTGAGAAAACAAACAAGGTTATACCAACATGAGGACCTGGATGAGTTTTTCTTTACTGAATCCAACTATTTTTTTCTTGATCTCTAGGTAAGTGCACGGCAAGGGGCAAATAATTGGGAGAAAACTCAACAGAAAGGCCTAAACAAATAGATGACTTCTAACCCTAGAATTTATGCAATCACAATTTCTGAATTGCTTAAAACCCACAAAAAAGATAACACAAATTTAGTAGAAGTATTTCATATACTTGACTCTTTTTCCCCCCACAGATTCTGTTTTGTGGCATTTACACTGGACATCACATACACTAAAAATAATGTCCTTAAGAAACCTACTCATTTTCCAGTTTCATAAGTAGTAAACAACCACCACAAATGGAGGATGCAGAGTTTCATTTTAGTACCTCACTAAGAATTGTATTTGTTTTCCATCATATCACTGCAGTAAGGCACTGGAACAATTCATTTCAGCGATGTGATGGGTCTTGACAACACTGCATTAATGTGTTTAGGAGAGGAATCGGTGAAGGATGCAGGGAAAACTAAATATACAGTTCATGTATTAACTTTGGGAAAACACAAAGAAAAATACCCTAATGCTGAGATACAGTTTCTGTTCAAAATCATTTTCCATTTCCATTTTTGCTTACTCATGTTACAGGCAGATTTCAAGTATCTTTACCCTTTGAAAAATTTCTTCCTTTACCTCAAATGCTCATTGTCAGAATACCCATAACTGTACTGTTCTCGTATTCAAAAAAGGAAGAAAAAACAGAGAAAAAACATGCAGTTAGAGCCTACTGTTCATTAACATTATTTCAATGTGACTTAGTAGTACACAGTCATTTGACAGATAAGTATATGAAATAAATCAGTACAATGCAGAAGGCTCAAAGGCTTACAAGAAGAGTAAAGGTAAAAGTAAGAGACAGGCTGAATGTTAGTAACAGACACTTAAAGGGGATAAAAAAAAGAACCTGTAAAATTGACCTGCCCTTGCAGAGAGAAGCAGCTTGCCTTTCGCAACTTTGCCATTAACACAGCCTTGCAGTGACATTAAAAATCATGTCCTAGTGAAAACAGAGAACCAAGAGCATTGAGATGCGAGATTATCTCAGACCTGCAGCAATGGACAAGCTGCACTCTGCTTAAGAAAAAGGTCAAAGGGAAATCTACATCAAATGACAAAACCCAATGCGTGGACAGAATGCTGCCTACAGCACACAGAAGAAAGGCTCCTCAATTAGCAGCCTAAACAGAGAAAGCATGCAAGAACCTGCAACCCCTATATTAATATTCAGAGGAAATAAAAATAATTCTGTCTATAAAATCCATGGGACCAATAAGCATTGGAGACAAGTCATAGTCAACCTCAGGTAAGTGGGTCTGATTAAACCAATGTCCACAGGCTACATTTGCTCAAGTCTGATTTGGTGTGAAGTGTCATATGTCTCCGTTGTGCCTGTTTTTGTGAACTACACAAATTAGAAGGGAAAAGGGCCTGGACATGGTCAGATCTAAGATACTAAAATGCTCTGACAGCAATTTTCTCAGCCCTTTATCTTGGATTCAGCCAACTCCATCTCTTTAGGATCAATAACTTAAGGGGGCATTTCCTGGGTCCTGCTTGCATGGGGTCTAATAGGGGTGCAGTCTAGAAAGGACAGTTCCTTGGTTACTGAAATGGACCAAATATTCTCTTTCCTTTTAACATACAGACTCATTTCTCTTCATCCTCTTCAACCTTCTCATCTTCTACCTATTGTTTGCTGCAGTTTTCTGGTATTCTCTATGCTGACCAGAGCTATTCTTGGGCACAAGTCATGAAGAGGAGTGGCCAGAGAGGACTCCATGACTTTTCTGAAGATGCTATCAGTTATCCACCTCCCAAGTGACAGATCTCAAAAATGAGGTACAGAGCAGGTAGTCATAAAACAGACATGTTAAAGGCTACTCTTATCATCCATTTTCTTTCCCAGTGAATAACAGACTGCATAATGAACTGCACAAAGCTTATTATACCAATTTTCTTGCATCTCAAGCACCTGTTACAACCTGAAAATGGAGCTATCCTGTTAAAATCAGCATTAAGTTGCAACAGTTAGACAACCACAAGACTCAGACATCTGATTTACAATATATAGTTTGTGGGTATGACAAGAAACAAACGGATTATAACAGAAAAATACTACAATTATTGCAGAAGGTAGAAAAGTTGTCACCAATCAAAATCCCCAAGTGTCTCCCTCCTCACTGTAAAGAGAAATACTTTCCAGATGTGGGTAGCATAGCAATCATGTCAGGAAGAAGGGGAGAAGCTGGGTTGGGGGACAGACAATGATGCCACAGAAGTGGTAGGTATGCAAACACATAGATGAGTATTTGTGTCTCAAGAACTTGAACAATAAGAAAGTGGTTTAAGACTGAAGATCCCACCACAGCCTTGCTCTCTTCATTTCAAGTAAATTAAGATTAAGTGCTCCTCTGCAAAGCTGAGCAATCATGTCCTGCAAACACTTATAGTTTGCTTTCTCCACATGTCAGCTTGGTAGTAACCTGAGCATGTGAGGAAATCTGTTGATGAGCATACAAAAATATTTTATTTTTCCATGCACTGCAGAGAATGTTTTAACTTTGAACAGCATTAGAATTATAATAGAAAACCTATCTAAATGTTAAAAGATGTTTATCAAGTGAAGGATGAAAGATGATCTGCTGCCAAGTGGTATGAAGTTAAAATGTTTTGGAAGAACAATGGTCTTTCATGGAAGAAAATAATATTTTTTTTTTCTACTCAAGATCTTACTGTTGATAATCCACTTCTCAAATGTCCATGTTTCCTTGAATAACGAGAGGCCACTATGTCATCAATATCTTCTTCTGTTTCATCCAGATAATCCTAAACGACAAACAGGCATTTTAGTGTTCGGCTTTGTATTTGGTCAGCCTCTGTCGCTTTGTTTTGTTTCTTATATTTTCCACTTTAGGCAGATGGTGAAGTGTGCATTCAAAATTCTAATCTCTATGGGATTTTTGATTTACATTTTACAGACCTTTGCACAGGCACACAGGATAAGGGGAAAAGATGCTGTTAGGGTTTCAGGGCTCAATTGCTTAAGAAGTGAAAAACTCAACACATATTCATATCTTATTCTGGAGGTGCAAACCTTTGCATGGCCAACAAATGTGCACATAAACAAAACCCATTTCCAATGCCTACTAACAATCCCATGTGAATTACCTTATTCTACTTACTATTCAGGAATTCTGGTCTGGAAATTTTAGAGGGATATGGTGATAATTTTTCAAATCTTAACAAAAGAAATGAGTGAACTAAGGTCTGATACCAGGGGATCATCGATACTGGTTTACCTGAACTACTTCTGTGGCCAGAAGCCTAGATGATTGATTTCCTGGTTACAGTCCAGGTTCCAGGTTTTTATGGGACATAGTTTTTACAGTCCAGCAATCCAGTTCTCCCATTATTATCTACATTTATATCAGTCTCACACACACAAACGGACAAGCAGACAATCTGCATTACACTTGCACCCTTCCACACTGCCTTCAGTGACAAGCAATGATTTCATGAACACTATTCATTAACACGGACCCATTTTCTAACAGGCAGTGCTGAAAGGTTATTGTCAAACAACATGGGAAGAAACTTGTACCGCCATCATACACACTGAACATATATTTTTAGGGTAAACAAAAAGCCCAGTTGATGTACGTGTTTTAAAAATAATTAAATTCCTGTATTACTTTAATAATTTTTTAAGATGGAGGAAAAATCAGTAATTGCACAGTTTTATATATGTGCTTGAGTTTTAATAAAAAGCAAGATTGAACTGCAACATCTTCAGTAGCTTATATTCAGGAAAAAAAAATCATTTTTTAAACACAGAAATAAAGTAAAAACTAAAAAGAAACTTAAAATCTGGTTGATGGTCCTAATAGGACTGTTAGCCTTAAGTAAAAGTCACAGGAAAAAAAACAACCAAAACACAAAACAACAGACAGTTATCATTCTATTAAACGTAACCGGGAAACTTCAAGCATTTCCTTAAGCCTTATGGCAGGTATTTTGAAAGATTCTGCTTTCAGTTTTATTGGGAGTCAAATGTTCAACTTCCTTATATCTGCTTTGCAGCTATAAAAATCTGAGGTGACCTACCTGACTCTCTGTTGCTTAGTCACTCTCATTGTCTTAAACTAAACTGAGAAGTACTGTATTCAAACTCAGGAGTTTCAGAAGCTTCTATGCTCATCATGAAAAACAGAGCAGAGAAGAAATGCTGCTGGAGAGCTGACCTGTCACAGCTTATGTAAAGGTCTGCAGAGCATTTGTCACAGCTGTTATATCTGTTCTTTGCTCCAGTGACCAAACTGAAACAAAACCAGCTGGAAGTGATGCAAAATTTTCTATTACTACTTTCCAATTGTAACTGCGTATTTCATATTGAGTAAAGGGAAATCAGGACAAGCCACCACTCTCTTTGGGACCAAAATTTACACACTGAAGCAAAATTCCTCTTCGCTTCATGTTCTTACAATGAGCCTCCTCTGCTGGTCTATTCTCTTTCTAATCTATTCAGGGCACAGCTACCATGCCATAGAAAAAGAGAACTCACAGAAATTTATACCCTAAGGAAAAAGTCCACAGAAATCTAGGCATAACAGAGCCAAACTGTTTCAGGGAGACAGATAGAGAGCTGAGTCCTTCAAAATAAAACCAAAAAAACCCCTCTAAAATAAAAACAAAAAACCCCACCCCACCCTTTACTTATGCCCTCCTCATTGACTTCAGAATTCAGATGATGTACCCAAGTTTAAAACCTGGCAGAAGAATACACAACTCATTTCTTACCCACACAACTGGAAGAAGCAGTTCTGGTAATATATGCAAAACCCTTTGCTTTACACTGTTGTATACATATCTGTGGACTTTATTGCTGAATAATTAAACACAGGATAAAAAAAAAAGTAAGGTGACATCTTCAAACTGGAGTGTTTCAGGTTTAGACACTCAAATATTAACAGTGCTTCACAGAAAGTCCTAATGACAGCTGACTACCAATTCTTGTCTGCAAGCAGATATCTAAAACTCAAAAAAAGAGAAGAGTTAACATTTAATCTACGCTCTTAATTTATTTTGTACTACAATGATTATGTTTCTCCGGAGGTGTTACAGAACTGCAACTACATAATTGGTTAGTGTTATTAGCTTATTAAAGTTAGAGCTAGTAGGACATTAATCTCATGGTCTCCAGTGGGGGTTATAAAATGCACATTATCCAATTACTTCTAATAGAGCAGCAGAGCATGTAATGAACACTGCTTGGTCAGGAATTCAACACACACCTCTCTAGATAAGGTGCTCACACTTGAACACAACACTAGATTTAACTGGTTCCCCATACTCCTTGATAAATACGTACTACAGTATACAGGTTTCTGGGGGTTGTCCCTTTTTGCTGTCAAGAGCCACGTTAAGTCAGTGAAGCAAAATACCTATTCAATTTTCCAGCTGATCTCTCTGTATGTATAATGGGTTTTCCTGATAAAGCTGGGAGCAAAGTAGCTAAAAGCCTTTCCC